CGTGTCCCGCCAGCATCTGACCGGGGAGGGGCCGTGGCGCGGGCCTTGCAGGCACTGACCGCCTGGCCCTGGGTCTCGGCAGGTTCATGGAGCCATACATCTTCGGGAGCCGCCTGGGCCAGGACATCATCGACCTGGAGCAGACAGCCTCGCACCTCCAGCGGGCCTTGAACTTCACGGCCCACGTGGCCTACCGCAAGGGCATCATCTTGTTCGTGAGCCGCAGCCGGCAGTTCACGCACCTGATTGAGAACACAGCCCGCGACTGCGGCGAGTTTGCCCATGCGCGCTACTTCAAGGGCGGCCTGCTGACCAACGCCCCACTGCTCTTCGGGCCCACAGTCCGCCCGCCCGACCTGCTCGTCTTCCTGCACACGCTCAACAACGTCTTCGAGCCCCACGTGGCCGTGCGGGATGCCGCAAAGATGAACATCCCCACGGTGGCTGTCGTGGACACCAACTGCAACCCCTGCCTCGTCACCTACCCCATCCCCGGCAACGACGACTCGCCCTCCTCTGTCCACCTCTTCTGCAGGCTCTTCAGGACCACCATCATCCGGGCCAAGGAGAAGCGGAGACAGGTTGAGGCCCTGTATTGGCTACAGGGCTTGCAGGGGACCGGGCACCGGGGCCCGGCCAGCCCTGCTTCCGGGCCGGGCCTCAGCCACTCCTTGTGATGTGCTGTCCTCCCACATTGGACGTGCTGAGCCTCTGCAGAGCTGCCACCCCTTCCCAGCTGTGGATCCCGTGCTGTTCTCGGTCCTTCCAGGCATCTGAGTCCTCGTTCCTAGTGAGTGTCGCTGTTTTGCGTGTGGGTGCCTCACAGACTCAAAATGCGACACTCTCACTTCTGTCTCCATGGTAGCCTTGGCTGGGAGGTGAGAATACCAGCCCGGCCCTTCTTAGTCAAAAGACTCCCTCTTCACTTGGACCTTCCCAGCGGCCTGGTTTGGGGTGATTTTGTCACAGGGTGTTGCACGTGAACCATTGGGAAGCCCCGTGCTGGCTGGGACAGGCCAGGCCAGGCTGGGCAAAGCAGGTGGCGGATTCAGCCAAATAAAACCGACCAGGACAGACATGGCTTGGAGCTGTGGGTTTAGCTGTGCGCAGCCTGTCAGCCACTCACTAGCCTGAGACAGGTATCCCTGCCCGTGGGTGTGTCTCCATGAGGTTGGCAGAGTGCCGGCTGCCACTTGGCACCGTGGTCACGTGGGAGTCATGAAGTCCAGCCCAGGCTAGAGGCCACACCATGACCTGCACCCCACAGGTGCAGTGCTTAGGAGAGACAGGCCCTGCTGACAGGGCTGTTATGTCCCCACACGTGTGAGGACACAACTCTGGCCTGGGACACGCTGTGGCACCCTCCAGGGCCCTCGTGGCTCTCAGGACTTCTCCCCTTGTGTGTGACTGCCCTGGGGAGTCCGGCAGCAGGGTCTGACGGGCGTCCGGCAGACTGGCCTGTGTGGCTCTTGGTGTGCAGCACCTGTACCAGCCCCCGGGACTGGAGCTGGAGACCCCTCCGCATCAGGCTGAGGCCTGGGGTCCCTACCACCCACATGCTGTGCCCTGCTGCTCACAGGACCTGCCCCACCCCCCTCTATCTCCACCATGAGCCTCAGGCCGGGAGCTCCTGTTCTCCGCATATGCCTCACTGCACCTGCCCTCCCATCCTGCTTCCTCTGCCAGAGCCTGTCTCCCACATCTCAAGCTCAGGATCTGTCCATTCCTCCCCAGACGGTTTCCCAGGTGGCCCCCCGCACCTCCCCCGCCTGCCCCAATTCCTCCCTCTGAGTCAGCTCTAAGGTGGTCGGGGTCAAATGCCGAGGCTCAGACCATGGACCAGAACGTGGTCCTGAGGGTGGGGTGTGCACAGCGTCACTGGGGCTTGTTTCTCGAGGGGGTGCCCTCCCTGATTCCCACTCGGCACAGGCACCTGGGTGGACATGGCCACGTGAAGCCTGGTGGACTTCCCGGAGCTGCCCTCTCCCCCCAGACCCAG